GAGAGAGAGAGAGAGAGAGAGAGAGAGAGAGAGAGAGAGAGAGAGAGAGAGAGAGAGAGAAGGGTGTAGCTGAAAGTTTTCCTGTGTCTCACCTGGGTCTCACTCAGGACAAATCTCTCTCACCTACCAGTCCCTCAGCTGCTCAGAACCAAGTAAACACACAGAGGCTTATATTATTTTTAATTTATGGCCATGGCAGGCTTCTTGCTAGCTAGCTCTTACATATTAAATTAACCCATTTCTATAAATTTCTATAAATTTTCCATGTGGCTCATGGCTTACCGCTACCTTTATATCTTGCTTCTCTTGGTGGTGGCTGGCAGTGTCTCTTCTGCTGTCTTTCTTCTTCCTCTCTCTCTAGTTAGAATGTCTTGCCTAACCCTATTCTGCCTCACCATTGGCCAAACAGTTTTATTTATCAACCAATCAGAGCAACATATATTCACAGCATACAGAATGACATCAGCCATCATTTCCCCTTTTCTTTCTATTCGAAAGGAAAGTTTTAGCTTTAACATAGTAAAATTACATATAACAAAACAGTTATCAAGCAAGAATTATAATTATAATATCTAGTCTTTTTGTATTTGGCAAAATTAAAGAAGATATCATATATATCCTGTATTTGTGAGTCTAAGGTTTCATATCTACCTTATCTCTTATCATAACCAAGGAAAACCATAATTGTAACTATTTAGTCTTCAACTATATCAAAGACCTCAGAAGGATACAATATTACCTAAGTAAACAGGAAGTGCATTGTAAGCAACTTCCAAAAATCTAGAATGACAGAGACAGCTGGATGCCTGGACAGTCATCCAAAGTTTCTCTGTAATGTTGGAGCATCATATTCAACCCATAGGCCTAGAGTCTCTCAGTCACTTTTTTCTTGTGTCCTGTAGAATGTCTGGCCATTTCTTCTGTGGAGCAGAAACCTAAAGGATCATCGTGCCTTGCAAAGTTCAGTGGTCACCTTTCTGTGGGTCCTACATATCCAGTCAATATAATATTTTGTCAAGCAGTCCAGGCAAGAACAGTTTCTTACCCAAATGGCTATATTTACCAAGAAGAAGATAAACTCCCTATGGAGTGTCTTCGACACCCATCTTTCTCTTTGAAGTAAATTGGTGCTGCCAGGAGTAGACATGCCTCATTGTCCAGGAAAGTCTAAGTTTTTAAAACATATTCTGTAGGTCTTTGAAGTGTTTGAAGATCATATAATTGAAGTATATCTATGTATACCTAGAAAACTTAACAAGACTATAAGTTTGACTATCATAGAAGACTAATCTGTACTTCTTAATTATCTATTATAATTTAAATGAGCTGTACAAACATAATACCTTAAACAAGGATAGAAATATATATAGTATAACAAAATCAACTCTAAATTTGTATCAATAAACTAAAATTTATAGCAATGTAAAACATTTTTTAAACAAGATACAAATGAATGGAAACACATAAACTATGAACCAATAGCTGAGGAGCCCCCAACTGGATCAGGCCCTCCGGATAAATAAAACAGTTGATTAGCTTGATCTGCTTGGGAGGCATCCAGACAGTGGGACTAGGTCCTGTCCTCAGTGCATGAACTGGCAGTTTGAACCTGGGGCTTATACAGGGACACTTGGCTCAGCCTGGGAGGAGGGGACTGGACCTGCCTGGACTGAATCTACCATGGTGAACTCAATCCTCTGGGGAGTCTTTGCCCTGGAGGAGATGGGAATAGGAGGTGGGCTGGGGGGAAGGTGGGGGTAGTGGTGGGAGGAGGGAGAACAAGGGAATCCATGGCTGATATGTAAAATTAAATTTAATAAATAAATTTTTAAAAAGTTGCTTTTTAAAAGTAGGTTCAACAATCAACCCTTTTATCCTATCATTTCTGTATCCCATATTTCTAATCCATAATCTCCTTTCTTCTTTTAGAAAGAGATTGACTATGACCAATAACAATTTGTAACCAACAACCTAAACAATGTCAAAACATCCATAATCCATTTTGGGGGAACGTGGACGTAGATTTCTAGGCTATTTCCTGTTGATAAAGGGCACTGTGTTCTTATGGGGAATCCTGAGAAAATTCAGAATTATGGTCAAGTCCTGACTGGAGTAGTCTCTGTCACTATATTCTCTGAGCCAGTTGCCTTGAAGCTGTTTTGGATATTGGATCATCTGGGCCATGATGTTATCAGAGACCTTTCAGGGGATCTTGGCTAGACAAACCACATTAGCCTGGAAGCAATCCACAGGTTCTCATCTTCTGTGGAAACAAAAGCAGAACCTCTATTCCAAAGCAACATATCCTTAGACATAAATTTTGAAATTGAGATACCTTTAAGATATACATATTGATTTAACCCAGCAGTTTTTACAATCAAATGTCTCTCTGAAGTTCAAAATCCTAAAGACAACATAATCCAGACTCTCTGTGTGATATCCATCTTTACGTGGCTTATTTTTTATATTTTTACTTTCTCTTTAAAGACATTGTTTTTTTTTAAATTTTCCATTTCTTTATATAGCTGTCTATATTCCTTTTCCTCTCTCTTTCAAGCCTATGTACATTTTTACACATACTGTAAACTGTTTAGGGTTTATCCCATCTGAATCTGTCTTAGTGTGAATCTGTTGCTTTAAACTGCAGCATGACTAGGCCTGTAATGGCAGCTTTGGCTGCTGGCTCCGTCCACCTCAGCTTTCCAACATGGAGGAACTAATTTTACTGCCAGCTCTGGGAGAACTATGCTCATCTCTGAGTCTGTCATGCAGTGGGTCTGTGCTTCCATCCAGCAGTGAGTAGCTCAAAAACATTTTTGTTTTCTGTACTGGAAAAAGCTAAATCTGCCATGCAGTGTACTGTGCAGCTTGGAGATGCCACTGTGGACCATGGTGGGATTCACCATGCTGCGCTCAAGCTCACACTCCTTGAACCTGCCAAACTATAGCTAAAGTCCGCACACCACTGCGTCTCTGTATCATAGCCTTCTTGAGAGACACAACTAGGAAGCTGCTCTTGGCTCCATTTTAGAACCCCTTTTTAAAAACTTTCTCAAGTTTTGGTGGAAATTCTTGTTCCATGTCTGGGCACCATTTGTAGCTGAAAGTTTTCCTGTGTCCCGCCTGGCCCTCAATCAGGACAAATCTCTCTCACCTGCCAGTCTCACAGCTGCTCAGATCCAAGTAAACACACAGAGGCTCATATTATTTTTAAATTATGGCCATGGCACGCTTCACTAGCTAGCTCTTACATCTTAAATTGACCCATTTCTTTAAACCTATACTTTGTCTTGTGGGAGCCCGTTCTTGGGTTCCTTGTGGCTTTACCCAGCAGGTCCACATAGAGGATGATTAGGACCATGGGCCTAAGTGCAGGTGTCTGAGATGGTCTGCACTTGGCTGTGCTGGGGGAGGAGGTCTTTTGCTCCACTCCTTGGCGTCTCTATAAAAACCCTGGGGCAGAGACAGTCGGGGCCAGTTGAAATAGGTTCCAGGCCTTCTCGAGGCTATCCTTTATTTTCTATCTGTTTATCTCCACAAGATTCTCTGCAATAAATCCTTCTATCTAATATTTCCTGCTGCTCACACTCAAGAAAACTCTGGGGAACTGTGGGGGTGGTGGGTAAACGCCCCACATCACATGACTCATTGCTTACCATGTACTTTACATCTTGTTTCTCCTGGTGGTGGCTGGAAGTGTCTCCTCTGCTCTTTCTCCTTCCTCTCTCTCTAGTTAGAATGTCCCCTCAACCCTATTCTGCCTCACCATTGGCCAAACAGCTTTATTTATCAACCTATCAGAGCAACGCACATTCACAGCATATAGAATGGTATCACCCATCAAAGGGGTGGAGTTTTTCCTTCAGAGGAGGCTTCTACATCAGGGCAGCCCCAAAGGGTGGTTCAGAATATTAACAGGAATCCCTTAAAAAACACTAAGCTGAAAGCCATAATACCTATGCAGAGGACCTGGTGTAGATCCATGCAGTCCTGTGCATGCTGCCTCAGTCTCTGTGAGTTCACATGAGCTTAGATCATGATGATTTAGGGGGCCTTGTTTTCTTGGTGTCTTTTATTCCCTCTGGCTCTTACATGCTTTCTGACTCTTCTATAGTGTTCTCTGAGCCTCGAGGGGAGGGATTGAGGGAGACATTCCATTTAGGGCTGAGTGTTCCAAGGTCTCCCACTCCCTACTTAATGTCTGGCTATAGGGCTTTTTTTGTCCCCATCTGCTGCAGCAGGAAGCTCAATGATTCTAGTTTTCTTGACCATGAGTTTTTTCTATTGTAACACCAACCCAAACTTTACTTTTAACTGAGGTTTTCTCAGCTAACATATGTAACTTCAGGTAGTCTTTCATGACCCAAAGATTCAATACTCTACAAAGGTATAATTTCATTTATTAGTGTTTTAAGGGACAGGAAAGAGTCGTACGAAGCCACGCCTGATACAACCGTGCCCATTCAGACCACTGACACTTAATGCTACTATTTTAATAACAGATTTTTTATGAAAGTAGAAGCAATGTGTCACTTGCCTTAACCTTAATGTCAGCATTGCTGCTGACATCATAAATGTTGTATTAAAAAACATTTCCTTTAACAACTGAAATAAGGCAGTCTGTATAAAATATGAGAAGGCCTCATTTCTCTTTTGTGTCCCCTCAGTGTCTAACTCTGGCAAGGATGAGCAACTGAGAGAGTGCCAGTGATGCAAATGTGTTTTATACAGAACTAAATGTCCATGATTTGATAAGCCACTTCCTTGTCATAATATAGTTTCTGTGGCAAATATATCATGCTTCAAAGCAATCTCATTTATTCTGTAGAGCTTCAGAAAATAGCAGCGTGAAGACAGTCACTTTCTCAACACCCATACGGGAAGGCGGAACCTGGTTTGTTGTTGAACAAATATGTCTCGAAGATAGCAACCAAGTTGCAACATATTCAAGAAAAAACCTGGAGAGACGTCTCAAAAGGCGAAGGACAGAACCGTTATAGCTAAGTATAATTAAAGAAAGACAAACCAAGCAAGGTAAGGAAGGAACGGGTATGGGCGAGTTACAAGAGAACAGGGAAAGAAGACAGATGTTTGTAAATGGGACGCAGCAAAGTCCCGGGTAAGAGCATTTGTGCTCATGTTGACTAAGAGCATTTTCTGTTTCTTTTGTTCTTATCAAACAAGGAGTGACACTTTTAAGGACACTGTGAGACACAGGAAAAAGAGGACACTGAAGTACTTTGCAGGTCTCAAGGCTGAGCTGTTTTATTGAGAGAGCGATGATCCAGCTCTGAGAGCTGTTGGCAAGAATGACATGCACATCGCTGAGGGAGAAATTCAGACCTTTTAAGTTTCCACCCAATTCAAACAACAACCAGGACACAACCAACATAACAAAAGATGTGCGGATTACCTAATAGAATATTCTACTGCATTCGTCAGAAGCCTTTCTCTCTTTAGAAGCCAGTCCTCCACAAGCAGTTAGAAGTCTCCTAGAGCTAATGAAATGTGGGGCGTTTACCCACCAACCCCACAGTTCCCCAGAGTTTTCTTGAGTGTGAGCAGCAGGAAATATTAGATAGAAGGATTTATTGCGGAGAATCTTGTGGAGATAAACAGATAGAAAATAAAGGATAGCCTCGAGAGGGCCTGGAACCTATTCCAACAGGCCCCAACTGTCTCTGCCCCAGGGTTTTTATAGAGACACCAAGGGGTCTCTATAAAACGTATGTGAGCATCTTTGTTGCTATCCAGAACACAGCTATCTAGGTCATGAGCTGTTGTCTGATGGTCAGCCACCTACAGGCTGGACAAGAATCCCAAAACCGGCCAAACAGAAAAGCAATCCAGACTGGTAGATCTCCACTTTACGGGTAAACCCATACTTACTGTTTCAGGACCTTAACAGGGAGAATTCAAGAAACTGTGACCAGAGCTGTCGAGCTGTAAGCAAGGCATGATGCCATGGACAGACATGACCACCAAGGCAAAGAGAAGGACAGAGATGTGATGGAAAGAGCTGTGATATAAAGCAGTATTTCTCAACCTATGGGTCACAGCCCCCTTGAGGTGTCTAATGACCCTTTCTCAGGGGTCACCTAAGACCATTGGAGAACACAGATATTTACATTATGATTCAGAACAGTAGCAAACTTACAGTTATGAAGTAGCAATGAAAATAATATTATGGTTTGGGGATCACTACAACTTGAGGAACTGTACTAAGGTGTTGTGCCCAGATCGTAACCCCCAGAGAGACCACCAAGAACAAGCATACCAGAATGCAAAAGCAAGGTTTATCTGTTACAAGTCATGACAGGGAACTGAACTCAAGCCATCTCAAGTGAGGCAGAGAAGAGTTACTCTTTCTTGGGGAAGTTAGTTTTTATAGGCAAAACCCATAAAATTTCTTAGAAGGGAGGGGGTTAGTACGGGTCCATTCTTGATTGGTCCAGTTTTTCCCAGGCCTGGACTTTATCTTATTCTAGCTTATCTGTTTGCCCTGTCGGGAGTTTTACAACTCCTCTCTGGTCTAGTCATGTTATCTTCGGAGAGGGGCATCTTGTGCTTAATTGGTTACCGAATCAGACATCCTGACTCTGTTCTTTTGTTCCTGGGGCTGGCGCCATCATTTCTGGGGACTTGAAACTAGCCTGGGTCTATCTATATTGAGATATCTTTGTCTAAGGCTCCCTTTTTGAGACAATAGAGTGAGGGTCTTGTTGTGCCTAGATCACGTCCCCAAAGCTGCCACTGGAGACTTTAGGTACAGAATGCAAAAGTAAGGTGTTTTCTTTTCTTTTTTCTTTTTTTTGGTTTTTCGAGACAGGGTTTCTCTGTGTAGCTTTGTGCCTTTCCTGGGACTCACTTGGTAGCCCAGGCTAGCCTCGAACCCACAGAGATCCGCCTGGCTCTGCCTCCCGAGTGCTGGGATTAAAGGCATGCGCCACCACCGCCCAGCCATAAGGTGTTTTCTAAGTCTACAAGCCTCCAGGGAGGCTCTTCCAAATCTCTCACTCACAGCAGGGAGGTTGGAAGGAGCACTCCCCTTTCTTTGTGAGGCTAGTTCTTAAAGGCACAGATCATATAATTTATTTTAACCCGCCTCCCTTTTTAGTCTTTTGGTCGAACATCCTGACTGTGTTTTCCAAAGTCCCTGTAGCAGATATAGCCACCTGGGGAAAAGGGGTCTAAGTTTTTACCTACACTTACGAATCCTGGTTTAAGCTTCTCTTTGTCTGTAGGGAATAGAGTGAGGGGGGGCGGTGGTTACTGAGGTATCACAAAGGGGCAGCAGCATTAGGAAGGCAGAGAACCACTGATGTAAATTCTGAGTAACTGAGACAGAGGAATTGTGCTTTTTCCTTAGAAAAGTAGATGACTCTAACATACTTGTTTAAAGAGATAAAAATTATTTTTATTATCTATCAGCACTTTTATTTTGGTTGTATTTTTCACCTTTTAGAAACCTCAGTGTCAGCTCTAGCCTAGATTGTTGCAGTAAGTGGCTAATATTTATTGCTCAGGTCCATGAGGCAATATTCTAGTTGAATATGAACATATTAACCCATCCCTATCATTATTAGTATTTTGTATGTTGGTAAGAAAACAGGGTTTAGAAATAGCTTGCCTAAAGTCATATATACTGGCAACACAAAGAGGGGATATTTTAGGACCTTTCTGACACTCTAACAAAGTACCAGCAACTGGGAGTTTATAAACAAATGAGACATACATTTTTGTTGGGAGTCATACCAACTGAAGCCTTTCTCAGAGGCCCCCATGAAAGGCTAAAGGGAATGTGAGTTATGTGTTTTGCAGGAGCAGACTTGGCAAGGTCCAGGCTGGGGCTGGGGCTGGAGCCTGGGCTGGTTAAACTTTTGGTTCCTGGAATCATGGCTTTCTCCCCTGGAGGGCTATGGTTATCAGTCTTAAGGCAGCTGTGTCTGAAGTACCCCATGTTCTCTTTGCCAACATTGTCTAATTTAGCTCTCTGCTGACCTTGACCCTGCCTCCCCCTACAATATATACATACATACATACATACAAACATACATACACACACACACATATATATATATATATATATATATATATATATAAAATGAAGTACTTAATAACCTTGCTTGACATAATTCATTAGCTTGTCCATGACTCCCCGGTCTCAGCCATGTGTCTTCTTGATTTCTCATCCCTGGACCTCTCCTCTACACCTCACCATTCAGGATCCATATTCCTGTGGGTATAGGTCACATTTCACAGTTCTGGAGGGAAAGAAGTCCACGATTATGTTGCCAGCATTGCTCTTTGCTTCCAGGATGACACCTGTTGCTGCCACTCCCACAGGGGATATCAGAATCTATGTCCTCCCATCCCCAAAGGGGATGGACAGGGGACAGAAGGACAGGGGTGCCTTTACTAACCATTATATAGATTTGCTAAAGTCATTCAAGAAGGCTTGTGACTTATCATTCCTAATCACCGTATTACTTTATAATATTGATTGGGGATTAAGCTATAATGCAAATTTTGATGGTTATGTCAATATCAAAATTAAAATTGGTAGTATTTGAACCCATACAGACTGGTTCTAAAGGTAATGCTCTTAATATATTAGTCCTCTGCTATCCTAAGCTAAACCATAGGAAAGTTCTCTAATATCTTATCCTGAAAGTGTCCAATCAGCTAACTCATAATAGCTTGTATGGATTCCATGACTTTGATCATTTATAACTCTAGTCTCTACCACATACTTTCTCTGCAGAACAAGGCCTGTCCTCTCCTACACAGACCCCTCCCTCTCTGTGGCTGATGCTGTCCTCTCCATCTCTTCCTCTTTCTCATTTCCAGCTCTATCTGTATATCATTTCTTTTTCTGTCTCTTACCTTTCTCCATCCTGAAATTGGAACTACTTACTGGAAGAGTTGAGGGCTCTCACATCAAACTGTATACAAAGAGCCTCCCAACTGCGCTGGTCTCATACATCTGAATTCCCTGCAGAATCCAGGGTGGATGAACAATGTGATTCCTCCAGCCTGTATTCTAAGTGCTTATTTAGTCTTCCAGCTGAAGAACAAGGCAAAAGAAATTTAGTTCCGAGCTCAGTGAGCATGGTTTGACTCTCAGATAATTTATTTATTTATTTTTATGACAGATTCCATTTTCTGCTGCTGGCATGATTACACGGGAACACATTTGTTCACTGAGAGTACATTTGTGCCATTTGCATGGGCTAACTCAGTGGTAGCATTTAATTTTTGCAATATCATTCACTTATCAGACTAAAACCAGTACATGTTCAGAATGACTAAGTGTACTGAAATGTTATTATAAGACTCAGCCTTGAGAGGCAGGAGGAGTGCCAATCCTTAGCTCGAGATTGCCTCATTATCGTTGAAGCATGGCTCTCGCTGAGACGATTCATTTTCTGGGGGAAATTTGGGTTTGGAGAGGTGAGAATATGTGCTCTACCAGAAACGATGTATTTCAGCGTTGGTTACTGCTGTGGTAGAAAACTGAAATTCTTGCATAGGAAAGCTGGCTAGGAATATGCTAAGAGTGAGTAGGGAGTTGGATTAGGAAATCTCCTCCAAAGGGGGGGGGGCTGTCACCTTGGAGGCATAATTAGTTGTTGGAACGGTACAATCTAGGCTGAGATCAGAGTCTTCTTGGATATGTATATGACTAGGTTAAAGTAAAGGTAAGACATATTCAAAATACTTATCAATACTGTTCCCCCTTATTTGTAAACAAAATTTGCGAGATGATTTCTATCAGTTTGGGGGATAAATTTCTTCTCAACCCGGCCCTAAAAATAGCAAACTTTGGCTAATGTAATTTTAAAAATTAAAGATGATCAATCAGCCACCACCAATTCCAGAAGCCCTCACCAGTCTCTTTTTATGATAGTCAGCATCATTAATTGAACATCTATTATGTCTAAGTCACTATCTTATAAATAGAATGCTAAGAACAAAAATTGACCAAAAAAGACAAAATACCTAGTTTTCTCCAATGTTCTTACTATCCCCAT